AACATTGAATAAATCTTTAGAAGTTGTCAAAAGGCTTGCCAGTTTAACTTTGCTTGTTTTTAGAAAATGACAGCACAGCCAAATAGTTTTACCTAGATTTTAGGATCCTCAATAAACTTTTTACGCACGATAAATTCATAACAACAATTTCATTAAAGATCTACTGTTTTCCTTCTCAAGTTGCAATTTTGGTAAATATTTTACAAAAGCAAAACAATATATCCCTCGTGCCATATTCCACTTATTTTAAGAAATTCCAAACTACCTGCTCTTTTTTTTAGAAGCAGAAGGTATTCTACAATCACGAGCTTATTCAAGTGTGAGTTTCAACAAGAAAACTAGATTTTGGACCCGCGCGCCCGCGCGGTGTAAGTTATATATATATATATATTTACATGTAACATTTATTTGACAGTTTCATATTTTTGAATTTTGAGATTGATGTATTTTTCTAAATTTTTACTGTTCAGTTATACAATATGTTGTTGTACAACTTTTCATTTTATTTGCTAATGTAAACATTAAACACACAAAGTATAATATTATGAATATAATGTATGGTGTTTTATTAAATTAGACTGTATATTTTTATTTCCACATTGTTTCAGTCATTATTATATTAAAGATTTTATAGTGAGTAATAATAAAAAGTTATGGAATAATATTGAAATATTTGTTTCATAGTTTCCGTTGAGTTTTGAGATATCTGATTTGAATTTACTCATAAGAGATAATATCGTATGAGAAATTATTGGGTTCACCCTCTAAGGTGAACCTTCAGGTTCACCAACCAACCAATAGTATTTCATTGTTTTATATTTATTATCTTTTAAAAAAGGAAACAACATATTATCGAGTTATATTATGTTTTTAAAATTAAAAGATAAAAATAAATAAAAACTAATAGTAGTTACAAATAAAAAATATTTTTAAAAAATATTTTTGTTAACCCTAAACCCTAAATCCTAAATCCTAAACCTGAAACCATTGGGTAAATCCTCAACCCTTGGATTAATCTTAAACCCTAGGATTTATGATTAATCTAAGGGTTTAGTGTTTACTTAAGGGTTTAGGGTTTAGTGTTTTGCTGTCAGTATGAAAAATATTTTTTTACAAAATCAAAGATTTATCCAAGGGTTTAGAGTTTACCCAAGGGTTTAGGGTTTAGTTTTTTTGGTGATGGTGTTAAAAATATTTTTTTAAAAGTTTTTTGTTTGAAACTACTATTATTATTTTTTAAAAAAAATTTAAAAACATAATATAGCTCAATAATAGTTTGTTTTCTTTTTTAAAAGATACAAATATAAAACAATGCAATTCTATTGGTTGGTGAACCTCTAGGGGGTGAACCCAAGAATTACTCATATCGTATTGGCTACTCTAGAAGCTAGACATAGCATATATATCATGTGATTTGTTAACATTAAAAGCGAAAATACTCTTAGATAGACACCCAAAAATTGATTTGTTTGTTACAAACTTAAGAAAATCACATGAATTTAAATTAATGATTAGATATTAAACTTGATTTGCAAGATAAGAAAGAAAAATTAATATTTTGGTATTTGAATGATATTATAATTGTTATGCTGATTGCAGAAATATAGGAATAGATTTAGGAAGTCAAAATCGTTTAGGAGAATACTAAATTATTATATTTGATTTTGAATTTAATAATTGAAAGAGATAATATCGTATTAGTTTTATTAGAGTTGATTTTTCCTTAATTTTTTTTTTATTTTCAGTGATATAACTTATTATCAAAATATTGGTATTTTTAAAGAATTCATTCACTCAGCAATCTTATGAACTTGCTCATATGTAATATAGTGGTTTTGATTGTGCAGATGAAGAGTAACAACAAAATTATGACAATGGAATTTGAAGTTGTATAATTATGAAAGGCTATGTAGGAGAGTCTCTATATACTCATTTGATCCAGTAGATAGACGAAGATGTGTCAAGGTCACGAACCAATTTATTTCAGTGGTCAATGATATGTAGGAAAGTTGGTATCATCTGGTTTTTATTTGGATTATTTGGTTTTTACAGTTTGGTAACCACGAAAACTTACATGTCGGTTCATTAAAAAAAGTCAAAACGTTGAATTTAATGGCAGTGGCATTCTGTGGTAATTATTGAGGAAAATTAAGGTTTAAGTACAAAATGTACTTCTGTTTTAATAGATTAGATAGATACTTTCTTTTTTTGTCAACAAATAGATACTTTAATAGTGTTGCACAAAAAACAACTTTAATAGTATGAAAGGAAAACAGTGAAAATTGTTAATCAAAAAAAGGAAAACAATAAAATAATAAAAATATGCTGCTTAGGTCCAACGGCGTAGAAATGAGATCGAAACATTGCGGTTAAATCACACGGCTGTTAGAAAAGCTGACCGGGAAATTATTCTAAAAGATGGTTTGTTGGCACTTGGCACTTGAAAAAAAAATGAGTGTGTCACAGCAGAGCGTCTTCTGTTAGAATATTTAGTTGGCAATATCTGTCAGTAAAAATAATACTAGTGTGCATTACGTACAATAGGCATAATTATATTAGGTGGGCTCCAAATAAGCTTGTATTATTCATATAAAACGAAGGTACATATAATTAGAAGGTATTAAATAAAAAGGTTATTCATAATTTGTTTTAAAATCATTGATGTAAGTCCTCGAGATAAGTTATATGAGGTCGCACTTCCGCCTACACACGTTTTCCGTCTTGTGACACTTGGGCTCATGAGGAGAGCCGCGGAAAATACAACACCAACATATGCTGCCTATATGTTTTTGGGCGGCTGGGCATAATATGCTCCTGCAAGTTCTGGCAGGTCCAATGTCCGGTTTATTAGGTCTTGTAGGACGTTGGCCATCGACAACTATATAAACAAAAAAATAACAACAATATAGGAAAAATAATTATTGAGGATACTATGATGTGATCGCAATGGTGAAAAAAAATAGATGATGAAAAAAGTAAAACTTTTATTAAATACATACATTCATGAAGAGAAAATAAAGCAATCAAGATGATGCAAAAGATAGCTAACTGTGATGACGGCATATTGTTCTTACGATACGAACACGTTTATTATTATTTCTTTTGAAAATTAAGTTTATTGGTTTTTTGGTGTAATTTCTATTTAGATTAATTTATAGATAGAAGTATGTAAACTGGCAATGCGTCTTTCATGGAGATCCATAAAATCTGGTTAGACTATTTCTCCCATTTTTTTCTAATTATTGTCTGGTACATATTGATGTTTAACCTTTTTTTTTTCTTTCTATTACACTAAAACAAAAGTTATAATTCATTTCATATGTGATTTTTTTTTATTTGGAATAGAAAGTTTATAAAATTTACATAATATAATTATAATATTTTTTCATATCTTTAATTTTTATTTGAAATACAAAAAAAGTAGTTAATGATAATTCTAACAATATATTTTTAAAATATTTTAGATCTTTTAAAATATATTTTAAAAAATTAGTTAATTGTAGTGTTAATTATCATAAAAGAAAATTTAAAATAAAATTATTTTGATTTGTAACAAAAAATAAAATTATGTGAAATAAGTTTAACAATATCTTCCAAATTTGCTTATCTATTATCTAGGTTCAAATTAATTTAACTGCCACATATATTTAAAATATAGAAATAAAAAATATCCTTGTTATATAAATACAAATTTATAAAATATATAATAATAATATTATAAACAACACAAATCTTTATGTATAAAGAACAATTTACTCCCTTCTTAAGATGCCACTAGATTTTTGATCCGTGCTTTTTTTCCGCGCTTAAAAAGCGCGGTTACTATTTTTGTTGTTTTATTTACAGATGGATCGATAAGTCTTTTGCTTTAAAGATATAAAATATCACAGAATCAAGATCAAATTATTATACGAGTATGAAGAATTTTTGTTTTATAATGTTTCNGTTTCAAACAATTTTTTTATGTTTCTAGATAAGTTAACAATGGTTGTATCTAAAAGGTGTACTTGAGAAAAATTGTATATTTAACAATTAAATGGTCAAATTTTTTTTAGTTTTGTGATTAATTCGTAAAATCACTTAGTTACAAAATTTTAATCGCTCATTCCGACCCGCCCTGTCCGACCTGCAACGGGTTGAATCATTTTTTCTACTCAAAAATTTGACTCGTCTGACCAGCAAAGAAAATATATTTTTGCAAGTTTTTTTATAAAATTTAGAAGAGAATCATCCAACTAATAAAACCCATTAGTATATAATTTTATGCCCAAAAAACAAAAAACCATATTAGCATTAACTAATGAAAATAAAAATTTGTTCATATCATTAATGATATATTGAAAAACATAAAAAAAATCATTGAACAGAATGTTTAAAACATTCTGTTTTAATGGTATTGATTATCATACACATATACACGTAATCATATCTATACTATATACATGCATGTATGTGCACTTATACAGTATGTTATAATATTCTAAAGCACATGTCAGAGAGCAAAATCAATAAAGCAAAGCTTGGGCGTGAAGAGAAGAACCACTTGCTTGTACAATGACACTTTGAGATAACAATACTGAACAAAAACCCAAAGTGCAAACGACTGTAATTGACACTTTCAAGGTCTAAGAGTTAAGACATGTATCTATCAAGAAAAAGAAAAAAAAAGTATGACAATTTAAAGAGGTAGATTAGGTTTGTGTTATAATGGAAAAAAAAAAGAGCAAATAAAAGCAGTTGGCAGTAGTTGTTCTGTCTTTTTTTAATAATCATATTATGTCTCCTCTGTTAGTGTTAAACTTCTGCAGCTTTCTCTTTCTCTAGGTCTTTTATTGTCATTAAACACAATTATTGTTAATGTTTTTTTTTTATTCTATAAAGGTTGGAACTTGATGCTTGCTTTGATGTTTGTTCAAGTACCCATCTTGTGAATCTCTCATTTATTTCACTTTTTATTGTTCCCCTTTAAATTCTTCATTCTCCCCACTCCAAGCAAAAACAGCATTTGATACTATCTCTTATCTTGTTTAGGTTTGCTGTAAAACTTTAAACTCACACCCAAGAACTTGATTCTTGTTTTGTACTCTTTCTAAGGGCACCACAATCTTGGAGTATCTCAAACAGGGGTTGTCTCCATTTTCCTTCCATTTATTAATTCTCTAATTATTGCATCTCTGATCCTAACAACTTGATGCTATCCAATGGGGTTGTGTCAGTTTCCTTCATTTTAAATTCAAAACTATTGACCCTCTGATCTCACAAGCTTACATTCATCTGGCTTCTTGCCTGTGACTTTGCTCTCTCACACTCTTTAAAAGCGAATCTACTTTTTCCTATTTGTTAGTCTCCTCTGAGCTGTAAGTTAGCTAAATCCATTGCTTGTCACCACTTTATGCTCTGAATGTTCTCAGCTAATAAATCTATTTGTTCTTTTTAACTACTTTTTTCCCTTGACTTGAGTAAGAATAAGAATTTATCCTAGGCTTCTCTCTTCTGCTACATTAGATTTGATGCTCTCTTGATTTGTTTTTCTTTCTCTTTTCCACTGTATAAAATCTACAGACTGGTTTAAGTTCCCTTGTCAAGTCTTGCAAAGTACCCCAAACCAAGTTCTGAGGGTTGAACTAGAGGAATGGGTGGTGAGAGTAATGAAAGTGAGATGGTGTTTAAACATGGAGATGGTGAAAGTAGGATCTCTACATCATTGCCCTTGTATGCAAAGCCAGATCATTTCTTCTCTTCTGTAGATTGGGATCCAGTTGTCAATGGTAGTGGTTTCTCAAGCTCACACTACACTTCGTTGGGGTTGGACAATCCAGGGATGAGTTGCTTCCCTCATTACCAGCCTGGTTCTGGTTATCCAGACATGCCTGTGAGTCTTCTTCCTTTTGGTGATTGTGGAGGTGGTGGTCATTTTCTTGGTTCAGACAAGAAAGGAGAAAGTATTGGAAGATTGATTAGAGCTGGAGAGTCTCATGAGGATCTTCATCAGCTTTCAGATGATGTTGTTCTTGGTGGTGCTTCCCCAAATAGAAAAAGAAAGCAACTCGAAGCTGAATCATCACAACGGAACAAGGTAGGATTTGTTAGAGAAAAAAAAAGACAAAGCTTATGAATGATGTGTTTGTGCTGAAAAGTGATTCTTGTTACATTGGCAGAAAGCTGTGGAGGAAATTCAAGAAGACCCTCAAAGGGAAAGTGATCAGAGCCAGAAGAAACACAAAAATGATCAGAATAAAGACAAGGAGAGCTCACAGAGTGAAGAAGCACCAAAACAAAACTACATTCATATGAGGGCAAGAAGAGGCCAAGCTACTAATAGTCACAGTCTTGCAGAGAGGGTACCATTATATTCATTTGATTAATAGAGCCTTTTTTTTTTCTTTTCCAACAACTTTTTTTTTTAGAAGTTTGCTTTTTTGTTTGTTTGTTTGTTTGTTTGAAGGTCAGAAGAGAAAAGATCAGTGAAAGGATGAGATTGCTTCAAGAGCTTGTTCCAGGGTGCAACAAGGTATTGTTTGTACTTAGAGTTGGCTTAATTTCTGAATAAAATTTGCTGAAAGTATTTGTTGTTGATATAATGTGTTTCAAACTAGATCACCGGTAAAGCGGTTATGCTCGATGAGATTATCAACTATGTTCAGTCATTGCAACAACAAGTTGAGGTATGAATCATCTCAACAATGCAAAAATTCTTGTAACGTTTTTAAGTCAGTTTTTACTCTTGTATGGTCTTAAAGAGGTTCTCCTTCTAATGTTTTTTTTTTTCTCAGTTTTTGTCTATGAAACTCGCTACGGTGAATCCTGAAATCAACATGGACATAAACAGGACACTTGCCAAAGATGTAAGGACATCAGAATCCCTCCCTAAACTTGACAAACATTAAATGAGTAATAATACTTTTGCAATTTGTGAATCACTACTAATAAAGCTGCATTTAATTTCTCCGTTCAGTTTTTGCAATCTAGAGACAGAAGCAATCCTTTCACAGGTCATCAAGGGAGGATACCGAACATTTCTTCCGCTACAAATACACAATACCACCCATTACCTCAGGCAAGCAACAGCAGAAACAACATATCATGCTTTTGGCACCACTTTAAATTCTCTTACACGTTTCTTTTATATGTAATCGTGCAGACAACATTAGAGAGTGAACTACAAAGCCTCTACCAAATGGGGTTCGTCTCAAATCCATCGACTATGTCTACTTTTTCACCTAATAATGGTAACTAAAGCTTACACCAACTTGCTTCTCTCATCTCTCTGTATTTTCCTTCTTATGTTTTTTGATGTTATCTTCTTATCTTAGGTCAATTGAAACCAGAGCTCTAGTACTTTCAAGGATGAGTTCAAAGGAAAATTTGCAGAGAGAGTTTGTATAGAAGAAAGTCTTTGGTCCTAAGTATCATATCTATTCTTCCATGTTTTTTTTTTTGCTCAACGAAGAATGGGTTTATTAAAAACGGAATCATAATACATAGTTTTATGATCAATAATTTTTATATCTTATATTTATTTACTGAAAATAAAACATTAAAATCCCATTTAATAACTTTTGGATGTCCACATACACATAAAACGTGATACAGAAATATATGTTTAACGTCTCGAAGTACTTTTCATATGAGTCTCGAAATGTGTATGTCGCATAGCATCAGTCCAAAAATGTATATGACAAAAAAAATATACCTATCTTTATCGTTCTTTTTGTTTGTTTTTGAAAAGTAGCAACGTATTATCATTTTCTCTTTATCATAAAGTACATAGTTCATGCTATTTGCAGCAATTTTTCCAATGAAATTTTACAAACAAGATCGTAAAATAAACAAAAACACACCGAATAGACCTACATAGCAATCAAGTAGAAATTATGCAGAGAGTAATTGTTGGACTATACCAGCTACAAGGTTGCAACTCTTAAAACATTGAGTGATTCCCAAGAAATAGCATAAACCAAATAGATATAAAAGTTTCAATAAAATAGAAAACACAAAAGCACAAGAAATGCAGTGAAATTAGCTAAGTTGTAATTTCTGTGTAGATTTTATATCATTAAAAGAAATTTCAATCTCATCACCATACTAGTGTTCCAGCTAAGCAAATCGGTTATATAATATGCACACGGCATAAAACATGTTTATATGAGCATGTTGTTAAAGTCCAATAGTAGTTAAATGGAACATTTAATAAATAATCTGTATGGTCTTTGTCATGGGGTTCTCACACACACTCGCACCACGGAAAAAATACAAGGATTAGTAGATATGCGACCCTACTCTATTATACTTTCCCGGGCAAAAAAAAAAAACGGTTTTAACTGTCGCTGTAGAATGTCACGTGTCATAATCGTATCGGATGAAAACCCATCGAACGGTTAAAAATTAGCCGACATGGTAGTCGTTATCACTAAGACTTCGGAGACGTAGATACAGTCTCCACCATTCTCGTCATGCCACGTCATATGATCTGGCACCTTCCACATTTACACCACACACAACGTGGAATTTGTCGCCTAAATTATTTATTTATCGTTTCTTTTGTTCGGTTTATGATTATTTTTATATTTTTTTCCGTAAATGATAATGCTCACCTAATAATTATCTTTTTTTTACATACTTTTTGTTTAATAAGTTTTCTTTTTAAAAGGAAGAGTTGTTATTATTTGAAATTTGTAGATTTTATTAGCATGTAGAAACGTTTATCTGACTTTTTTTTTTTGGTTGGGTTTATGATATTTTTTTTTCGTAAATGATAATCCTCACCTAATAATTATCTGACTTTTTTTTTGTTTATTTTGGGACCCAAAAAAAGGAAGAGTTTTAAATATTTGAATTCTTTGTGAAGATTATATAAGCATGTGGGAGAAAGTATATGATGAACTTGTACGCGAATTATCCGCGGAAATTGGATTATAAGGAACAAACAAATCGTGAATCTTGCGAATAATTAGGGTTTCTGATTCTTCGGAGGTTTCTCTCATTCTCTCAAGTCAAAGCAATAAAGTGTTCATCTTTTCCCTGTAAGTCATCGTTTCTTCTTCTTCCTCTGTTTTAGATTTTCGATTTCGTTTTTTTTTGTTGATTGAATTGTGATCGAATCTCTCATAATCTGGGCTTTGGTTCTTATTTGGATTGGTTGTGGAATCATATAATGTGAAATTGGATTCCTCTGTTTTCGTGATGTTTGTTGGTGTTTTGATAGTTCCTCTGTTTTCGTCTTGGGTTGCTCCAAAGTTGAGACCTTTAGGCTTATTTTTTTGCATCCCCTGTCACGTTAGATTGGTTTAAAGTTCATTAGATTTTGATTTCGTCTTGGTTGGCTACAAAGTTAAGAACTTTTAGGCTATACTTTTAATTCCCCTGTCACGTTACTTTAGAGATCAGTCCTTAAAACATAGTTTACCTTTTAAAAACAATTCATTTAATGCCATCAGTCTTTTCTTATTCTTGAAAACTTTTCATTACCCTTACAGATCCTTTAGACGATCTAAGTTTTTAGTCAGCCATCTACCTTACCTCCCTGGAGTTTGAGCAGCTGATTATGTTCATCTCTGCGTTGATAATTTAGTAAGACAGAGTCTGAACAGAAAAAAAGAGAGTAAGAGATGGATGTCTCTGCGCTTTTAACGTCTGCTGGGATTAATATTGGGATATGTGTAGTGCTTGTGTCGCTTTACTCGATCCTAAGGAAACAGCCGTTCAATTATTGTGTTTACTTTGGGAGAATGCTTTCTAATGGAAGAGTTAAACGTAATGATCCTCGTTGGTATGAGAGGTTTGCACCTTCTCCTAGTTGGCTTGTTAAAGCTTGGGAAACTACTGAGGATGAGATGTTGGCTTCTGCTGGTCTTGATGCTGTGGTTTTCATCAGAATGGTCATTTGCAGGTTAATCAGTACAACAAAACATGCTTTTCTTTTTTACTCTAACTGAATCAGACAAGCATTGTGTTTAACCTTCTTTTGTTTTTAAAACTATGCAGCATTCGTATTTTTTCAGTCGTTTCAGTCGTTTGCATTTCCTTTGTTCTACCTGTAAACTATTACGGACCAATGATGAAGCACCAGGAAGCTCATCTGGAGCCATTGTCAATCTTCACTATTGAAAACCTTAATCCACGCTCAAGATGGTAATGACAGATTAAATGGTGGCATCTCACACTGTATTTCTTAAAGTGATAGCAAAGTGCTGATTCTAGTTTACTTTTTTGTCAGGCTGTGGGTTCATTGTCTTTCACTGTACATCATAACCTCTGCGGCATGTGCTCTTCTTTACTTTGTGAGAATCTCTTACCCTGGTTCATGCTCTTTGTTCCATTGTTTTGTTTCTCTCTCTCTCACTCTGTTATACGTGTTTACTCGATGTAGGAGTATAAGACCATAGCCAGAAAGAGGCTGGCATATATTACTGCATCGTCCTCAAAGCCAAGTCATTTTACCGTACTTATGCGTGCTGTTCCTCAGTCTCCTGACCAATCTTACAACGAAACAGTGGGACAATACTTCACAAATTACTATGCACCAAGCTATCTCTCGCATCTAATGGTCTACCGTGATGGCCTCATTCAGAGACTGCTGGTATGCGTTTTATGTTATTCTTGCAACATGTTTTCTCTCGGATTAGGAGTAGACTATTCAGCTAATATAACTCTCCTAGAAGTAGAAAAATAAGGATGTTATTGCTATGCTCTCTATCTCAGAACGTGATTTAACCTTTTCACGCTTTACAAAAGTCTACATGTTTCTTTTAAATTTTCAATATAACACTTCCTGTGTGTTTAAAGTTTATACTCTGTTTCTTGGATGCCACGAATGCGTTTCTTCAAGAAATTTAGAGTAGCTTAAGAGATTGAGTTTCTTTTGATATTACAACAGTTTCTTGTTGGTTGTATGTCGGTATTTGGAATTTTAAAGAAATGCAGTGATTTATTTCGAAGCACAACTGAGTTCATTTTAGATTTACTAATACTGATCATCAATTCTCTTTTCTCAGAATGATGCTGAGAAGATGTGTCAGGCAATAAAACAAGTTTCTCCTGATGTAAGCTGTAATCCGAGTATTAAGTCATGCAACTTTTGTACAGGACCTTCAGCCACAAAGTCTTTTCAAATGCTCTCTACCGAGACAGACAGTGTCAAGCAACTGGAGCTTGGTGAGTTGACTTTGACTACGACCGAGGAAGTAAGGACCTCTTTTTTCCTTTGATACTTTATATGATCTAGGCATAGTGTGTGCTTTCTTCCGGTTGCATGTTTCATAGCTGAAAGGACTTTGACTAAGTTAGCTTTACAAGTAATGTTGAGTCCCAGGAAACTTAGTAAGGCACATTGAGAAGTTGAATGGAACTTGACTAAGTAATTATAAAAAGAGTTTTAACTTTTCAACGCCGAAAAATAGATGAAAAATCTCTTTTTTAACCTAAGCTTCAAGTAATACAGAGATTTTTTAAATCTGGATCTTTAAGCTGAAGCATGACTGTATTTGTAAACCATGCATAGTTATTTGTATTACCTTTTGTAGTTTGATAATCTTGAGACGTTTTCTGGTTTCCCATTTTGTGTGAGAGATTTGAGGAGGCCTAAAAAAATTTTGTGATCATTTGCAGGAACGTCCCGTTGCTTTTGTGTTTTTCAAGACTCGTTATGATGCTCTTGTTGCATCTGAGGTTCTTCATACATCAAATCCTATGTTATGGGTGGCAGACTTGGCCCCAGAGCCTCATGATGTCTACTGGAAAAACCTGAAAGTACCTTATCGCCAACTTTGGATGCGAAAAATAGCAACCCTTGTCGGTGCTGTTGCCTTCATGTTTGTGTTTCTTCTACCTGTTACTGGCATTCAGGGGCTGACTCAACTAAACACTCTATCTAAGAACTTTCCTTTTCTAAGAGACCTCTTGAAAGCGTGAGTATCCCCCAGTTTCTTTATTAAGAGTAATAAAAGTCTGTATAATTGTTTTGTTTTCTTTTAAATTAATCATCTCTTTTGAAAACTATTGCAGGGATTTTATGAATAGGGTGATCACAGGGTATTTACCAAGTGTGATACTGGTTCTATTCTTCTATACCGTTCCACCATTGATGATGTACTTTTCAACTTTGGAGGGGTGTATTTCTAGGAGTTTAAGAAAGAAAAGTGCATGTATCAGAGTTGTATACTTCACCATCTGGAATGTGTTCTTCGTCAATATCCTATCAGGTTCTGTTATCAGGCAGTTAAGCATCTTCTCTAGTGTGAAAGACTTACCTGCACAACTTGCTAAAGCAGTTCCAACACAGGTAACCACTCACTCTCACACTTTTCTTGTGGCCTTGTTATTGTTAAATTTATGAAAATGGGCTAATCATTGACTGTGTATGCAGGCTGGCTTCTTCATGACCTACTGTTTCACGTCTGGTTGGGCTGGTTTGGCATGTGAGATCATTCAACCAGTGGGTCTTATATGGAATCTGATATCAAGAGTTATTATCAAGAACAAGGATGCCTCATATGAAACGCTTAGGTTTCCTTACCATATTGAAATTCCTCGGCTACTCTTGTTCGGTCTCCTTGGCTTCACCAACTCTGTCATAGCGCCTCTGATACTACCGTTCCTGCTCATCTACTTCTTTCTCGCCTATCTTATATATAAGAATCAGGTATGTAATGATCTCTGATCTCTTTTAATGAACCAGAGATTCAAATGTTTTTATATTTTGCAGATAATCAACGTCTACATTACAAAATATGAAAGTGGTGGACAGTACTGGCCTATTTTCCACAACACTACAATCTTTTCACTGATCTTGTCGCAAGTTATAGCTCTTGGATTCTTCGGTTTAAAGCTATCAACGGTTGCTTCAGGTTTCACCATTCCATTGATTCTTCTCACCCTTTTGTTTAGTGAGTATTGCCGGCAGAGGTTTGCTCCTATTTTTCAGAAATATCCAGCTGAGGTATGTACATATAAGAAGTTACTCATTGTGTTTTTTAATATCCTCGTGGGATCTTGACGAATGAGTTTGTTTTCAGATTCTTATAGCTATGGACAGAGCAGATGAGATCACAGGAAAGATGGAAGAGTTACATAGCAACTTGAAAGCTGCATACTCTCAAATACCATTGTGTTCTCAAGAATCTAGCAAAGCTGGTTGCAGTCCTCCTTGCTCAGATCAGGAGTTACCAGCTTCTGATCAACTGAAGCCAGAGAATCTTGAAGCAGAAGTGATAAAAGCCTTTCAAAGAAGTAAATCTAGTCATGATCTTGAGGTGAAGTCTTGTCCTAGTAGTTCACCAAGGCGGTTCTCCCCAGGATTTGCTGAGATATATAAACGAACACAGTGAGATGTACAGTTCTGCCTGCTAAATTGAAATGTGAATTTTATAGTTACTGCAGGTGGGAATGAGACAGTGCTTGGTTACTTGTGTACAATTAGGAATCCTTTTTTCATAGTTTTTTTACGAAATGACAAGAATATTATTACTAAAGAGAAATTAGCAAAAGAGCTTTCTATATCATATATGTGTTGACACAAGTGTAGTTCATTTTTGTGTATACACTATACACAGCTTAGAATGCAGAGTAATCTGGTTGATAATTGGTTTATCAGTTGATACATGTGACCCATCCTTTGTTATCTTCAATCAATCCTGTCTGGATACCGACAAGAACCGAACGCAATTTCTGGCAGGCAGATTCATCCCCGGTTTCATACTCTACTCTGAATATTTCAGAAAAGATAATACATACGTTAGGCCAAATCTTTGTTTAAGGTTGGAGTAAAACTTGAACAAGTCACTGTGAGGTGTTTTTACCTTTTGTCCTGATATGTTATAGTGCCCACAGGAGCAACTCCTACAGCAGTTCCAGTGCAGAAAACTTCATCTGCATCCATCACTTCATCCACATGAACTGCCTTCTCTACTACCTGATCATATCCCAAGTGTATTATTTTTGGTTCCTTGAGCTCTAACATAGCTTTTGAATTTGTTTTACCTCATAACCTTGATCACTCGCAATCTCCATCACACTTTTCCGAGTAATTCCCTCTAGAATTGTTCCATTGGTTGCAGGAGTTGAGATTGTCCGACCCTAAACTAGTTATATTAAGACAAAATCTTTACTGGAAACACCATTAGTATGTATATTACCTTTACAACAAAGACGTTGCAAGAAGAAGCTTCTTCAAGATACTTCTTCTTGACTGAATCAAGATAAAGAACGTCTGAAAACCCACGACTCTTGGCTCTACTCAGTGCTTTCAGAACCTACAACACATTGGTTTATAAAAACTTGTTTCCTCTCATTTTTGGAAACTAAGTGTGTGTTTCAATACTTTACCGGTGCATAGTTTGTGATGCTCTTGACACCTCCAGCTCCACCAGGAGCTGCACGAACATACTCTTCCTCAACATAGAGATTTAAAGCAGCAATACCTTCCTATAAACAAGTAGAGAAAATATTTACCAATCACTGAGAAAAAAAGGCCAAACAGGAAGAGAAAGAGAGGCTACTACCTTGAAGTAGTTACCAACAGGAGATGCGTAGACAATGAATGTATATTCAGGTGCAGGTCCTAAACCAAGAATTGGACCACTTCCCATNTCCTCAACATAGAGATTTAAAGCAGCAATACCTTCCTATAAACAAGTAGAGAAAATATTTACCAATCACTGAGAAAAAAAGGCCAAACAGGAAGAGAAAGAGAGGCTACTACCTTGAAGTAGTTACCAACAGGAGATGCGTAGACAATGAATGTATATTCAGGTGCAGGTCCTAAACCAAGAATTGGACCACTTCCCATCAATAGAGGCCTAATGTACAAAGACCCTTTCCCTGAAGGAGGAACCTGACCACTCACAAAAAGTCACTCAGATAATACCAAAGATAAACCTCTATAACGTTTGTTACAAGAAAGCGTTTTATACCCAACGTTTATTTGCAAAAGCGGTTTGTTTAACTGCATCAACAAACTGATCAACAGAAGGAGAAGGCATGAGCATTCTTTCAGCTCCAAGCTGCATTCTAACAGCGTTGTGATCAGGGCGAAACAGAAGAAGCTTCCCATTTTCTTTCCTATATGCTTTTGTTCCTTCATATATCGCCTGTGAATAAACCTCCATTGGTTAGAAAATTTAAGAGAAAAATAAAACAAGAAACATTTGGGGGTTGCAAGAGGCTTTGCCTGTCCATAGTTTAAGACTCCAGCAGAAGGACTTAGCTGAATATTATCAAAGCGGTTAAGTTCACCTTTAGTGAACTCACCGTCTTTTGAGCATTTCATGACGTACATGTAATCAGCTGGAGTTAGACCAAACCCGAGATTATCCCAGTCCATATTAGCATACTCATCATCTCTATATAATAATGAAACAAAGATTGTGAAAATAGAGCTTTTCTAGTGGAGGAAAAAAAAATGTATTTGTATATGAACTTACTGATAAAGAGGCTTCTTACGCTCCTCTCGCAAGGCTGAAGCAGCTTGTGCGTTGTACTTAGAGAAAGTTTGTAGCTGAAAACAAAAAAAAACATTCTCAAACATGTTTGTATATGAGATTTGAGTTTGGTCTGGACAAGTATACATTATATTAATTGTAAAGAAAATTATATCCGGCTTATACCGTACGAATATGTGTATGAAGAGGTAGAACCAGACTTTTACGCAGATATGAGATTGCTTTGATCATTTTCTCTATTTCAGAGCCTTTGTTTTTTGGTTATGGAAGATGATCTTATTGATTTAATAAAAACAAGAAAATTTCTTGAATGATATTTAGCAAAAAGAAAAGGTGAAGAGAACAACAAGAACACAGAGTGTCAAAATAAGTATCCAACACGTAAGTGATTGCCAAGCTTATGTGAAGTTTATTGGCTTTTATCTTGGCAAATCGTTTTTATTTTATTTATTTTTTCTTTTTTGCAAAGTGGAAATTGGTAAGAGTGTTCTTATCTTGTTCCGTGTGTTATTATTATTATTGTTTTTTCTTTGCTTCGTCACTTGTGTCTATCTATCTACCTGATCAGATCTAGACGTGTCTTTCTGGAACTAGAACTAATCGAGATCAATGGATCTTTGTTCTTGTCTCGTTTGAATGGTTAATTACCAAACAATTAACGAAAATTTAGGAAATATTTTTGAATTTGTAAATTATTTTAGTTGGTATAATGTCAGCACTGTTTTTCATTTTTGACATTCATCACTATGCTCCTTTTGTGCATATAATTACACAGATTTGTGGATCTTCAAATAAATTATACTAGATTTTGAACCCGCACATCCGTGCGGGTATTTTCTCATTTTATAAAAATATAACAAAACCTTTCAAATATATATGATTTATATTCTATTGTTATATATTGTATAATTGTATAACTTTATAATTTATTTATTTTTATATAATATATTATTGTAAGTTTTAAAATAAAAATAAAATATTTATATATAATTTATTATATAATGTATTTGTTGTGAGTTACAAAAATATATGTTAACATTTTTTGTATAAAAATGTTCTATGATTTAAAAACTTTAATATGTTTTAAAAGGGAGTGATATTTATTTATTTATTTGAATAAAAGAAAATTTTTAAAACAAAATATTTTCCTTTTACCAATTTAATATATTTTATATTCATTTCACATAGTATTTTATTTTAATATAATATAGAATATAACTAAATTATAAAATATAAAAAATTATTTTTAATTAACATTAATATATATATATATATATTTATATATATTAATCACGAAATTAAATAATTCATATTTTATAAAAATATTTAAACTTCTTTGTAAGATCTTGTTAGATATTTTCTCAACAAATTTATTACTAATATCTTATTAATTATTAAAATATTCCTCTATCTATATATATTTGACAGATTAATATAAATAATTAAATATGTCATATTATTGAAATGGTCCAATATGACTTTTTGTAGTAGATGTAAATGGTACTTCTCTTTTAATAGAGAAGATTATTTTAGCATTTGTCCATTTGCTGAACAGATAATACATATACTCTAATGTTATCCATTATGAACACAACTTACTAATGTATGATACCCTTTAAAACGATGAATGTCGTTTCAATCTGTTTTTTTTTTTTAACAAAATATTTTCAGTGAAGAAGGTGCTATTAAAAGAAATGAGAAGGGCTGCTAGTGTATTTTCGAGAAATTTTAACCGATGATAAAATAATGTTATAACACACACATTATAGTTTTAGGGATGGCGCACTTTCAACGAAAGATAGTCCAAGTTCTCATCATCAAGTGAGCGTACCTACTTGTCTACTGGGATTATGGACATCATGGCCCTCCATTCAGTAATATATGGTTTATTTTCGAATGTAAAATATTATTTAACGTGCACAAAAAAATATTATATTACAATATATCCTTTATGGGAGTTCCTTCCAGAGATGGCGGGGATAAACTCGACACGTGATTGCCACGTTAGATGCTGAGGTTTTTATCGGACAATGACTTTCGTTAAAATGTCACACATCATCTTCTTTTCAAAGTCTTCCTTCATTATCACCTTAGAGAAAGAGCTTTCTAGTCTTGATAACAATGTTTTTCTCCAATGCTTACTAAACATGACACTTTCCATATAACAATATATACTACGGTAGAATCATCTGATCTATTGTGTAGACAGTGAATCGATTGCAAACAATATAAACATTATTCTGAATAAATTTATATTACAAACGACCATTGGACAAAACCCATTTTCAAGTTACAAATCTTTTGATACATCAAAAGAGTGCAACATAATAGTATAGTTTTTTTTTCTCTCAAATTAGTCAATCTCAACAACCCAGTTCTTAGTGTCTTGGATAGAACCAGTTTGTATTCCGACAAGAATAGACTGAAGTTGCTGTGTAACTAGCCCTTCTCCCACTTTGTACTCAGTCCTGCACATATATCAACAGATAATTTAATAATCCCTAAGAATATTAATATTAATAGGTATATAATATACATGTATGTGAAGAAGAAGAAGAGACCTTATGTCTTGAAACGTGATGCTTCCAACAGAAGCAATTCCAGCAGCAGTTCCAGTGCAGAAAACTTCTTCTGCTTCCTTCAGTTCTTCTACCGGAACTACTCTCTCTTCCACCTGTTACATTACACACTTTTCAAGAATTGCAAAATAGTTTGAAAATTCAGAAACAGAGTGTAAAACAGAGCAGAAGACACTCTGTTTCTTGGGTCTCAAGTAAACTTACCTTATAACCAAGATCAAGTGCAATTTCGATAACACTCTCTCGTGTAATCCCTCTGAGTATCGTCCCATTTGTAGCTGGAGTCACTATTGTATTCCCCTGAAACACCTCAAGAAACTTCAATATTTACATTTAACAAAAAAAGTATTCAACTTCCTTCTTAAAGAAAAAAAAGTTTCCTTTTAACCTTCACAAGGAATATATTAGCAGAAGAAACTTCTTCTATGTTCTTCTTAGTTTCTGCATCAAGATACAATACATCCGAAAACCCTCTCGCTTTCGCTCTTCTCATCACGTCAAGCACCTTTGTTTTACAGTTCATTACCAAAACAATACTCACTTATGACACAAAACATTTAAGTACTTAAAACCATATGCAAAATTGACTTCACTTGAGTGTTTTTAACTTACTGGACCGTAATTAGAAATGGCCTTAACAGCACCAGTTCCTCCAAGATACGCGCGTGGAACCACCTCCTCAACGTAGAGGTTCAACGCTGCTGTGCCTTCCTACACAAGCAAGAAAATTCAAGATCAAGAACAAGATCAAGACCAAGGTAACGTTTTAAATTAACCACTGACCTTAAAATAGTTTTGAACAGGAGAGCCAAACACAAGAAAAGTGTACTCTGATGCTGCAGACACACCCAAGCTTGCTCCACTTCCAAACAACAACGGTCTTAGATACAACGAGCCTTTTCCTTGAGGAGGAACCCAACGTATGTTTGCAAGAACGGTCTGCTTGACACCTTCCATAAACTGTTGAACAGAAGGAGAATGCATACACATTCTCTCAGCTCCATTCTTCATACGCATCGCATTTAGCTCTGGACGAAACATGAGAACCCTACCGTCTTCTCCTCTGTACGCCTTCATTCCCTCTATTAGTCCCTGCAAAATCCACCAGAAAAAATCGTTTATTATATGAAAATATTTTGTGTGTTATTGGGATGAGATTTGAAACTTTGCCTGGCCATAGTTGAGAATTCCAGCAGCAGGGTTGAGCTCCATGTTGCCGTAACGGCTAAGGCAACCTTGTTCGAAGTTTCCTTCTTTACAGCTTCTGGTGGCGAACATGTAATCTGTTGGTACAAGACTGAATCCGAGGTTGTCCCAGTCCACATCAGCATACTCTTCATCCTCACTGCATCATAACAAACGTTTTGCCAATTAAGGATTTTTTAATAAAAAATTCTTTAATGACTTTTTTGTTGATGATATATAAGTGAATAAACTTGTATACAAATAGACTCTTACAAATTTTTTTTGACTCGTACAATATTATGATCAACCATCATTATATATCAAAACGTAAATAAAAATCAAAGATAATATTTTCATTTTCATCTCATATTTATTATTTTAAAAGTAAAACGATTTCTTATATATTTTGATATATGGTGTTGTATGTTTACATGCATATATATGCAACTATTTTTTATTGAAAAGAAACTACTAGCACAAAATTCAATTTAACTTTCTTTGTTTCAATTTTTTTTAACCCTCATTGAATGAGAATGGGTTGAACTTGTACCCCCCATAGTTTACAATGCATATTGATGAGCCGGATAGCTTGAGGTCACACAATATTTAATATACCTAGAAGTACACATTTTTTGTTTTTTACTTTTTTTTTATTTTCCCCATTTTAACGTTTTTCTTATATTTTATGTGGTGGTAATGACAAAAGAAAGGACATATTAACGTTAAAAGGTAGGCAATATTACCGTTCTGACCCCATCATCTGGGAGACATGTTCTTCTACAACAGAAGCTGCTGCCTTGGTCCCATGCATACGAAATCTACAGATCTGTAATATTCATGAATACATACCAAATAACCCCACGAGCGCGTGAGCTTTAAGCTGTGTCAGTTGTAGTTGTTTCCTTCCTTTGTGAAAAAGGAAACAAGAAATAGAAATTGGAAAGAAAAGTACAAACCTTAGAGAGATTAGTGGAAGTTGTTGAAGATTTAAGTAAGCAGCGAAGGGCCATGATATTGTACGAGCTTTGTGTGTGCACCAAACTGAAACTCTTGAATGGGATGCTGTCACCAGAGAAAATGAGTAATGTGCTCGTGCAAACTACAAGAGGCCAGGTGAGTGAAGATCAGAGAGGCAGGGTTGATATATATAGAGAGAGCGAGAGAGGAGAGAAAGATAGAGACATATAGTTACAGCTATGTTTCTTCTCTCTATTTTTGGTCTTATGCAGTTACAGCTATGTTTCTGTGATTAATTACTTCTTTCGGTATTAACAATAATAAAGAACCGTTTTAGTTAAACATAGAAAAACATTTCTAAAACCTAATCGTATCCCACTGATATGCTGATAAAGCTGGTATCACGAAACCTATATAAATTTAATGACAGTCTACTCACAGATTGATAAGCAATTATTTAGTTGGTTCTTCTGATCTTGATGTAATTATAAACGCTGGATTGATTTCTTTCATTTTCTTCTCACGTATGTAAAAAACAATATGTGCAAGTTTATAAATTATAATACTTCTTAAAATGGTAATCCATATGACATTCACGTGCTTTCTTCTAGATTGTATTCAACTTGTTGACCATTAGTGATCGAGTAACTTAAAAGTGTGGTTACGGTTGTGTGTTGACTCTATCATGTCACGTAAAATATCAACAGTGAACTAAATGCATACCAACTTTATTTCCTTATATAGTTCTTCATTAAATGAGCCTTCTCGTTTCTATTTTAGGTAAACTATATATGCTCTTCTAGCCATCCCATTTCTAGTCATGACTCGTCAATTTTGATACACTATTGTCAAAAGTATATCTGTATATGTATGGGTGGTTGTGAGAATCCTGATTCGAATATCTACATTAATGCCAACAATATTAAGGATCGATGGTAGATGCAGAACAGTTGGATAAGTATGAGATTGTAGGTGGTGTGGATCATTCGTGATTGCTCTTACTCTAGTATCATGGACTGACTCAACTAACACAAAATATTTGTCGATCCACTGCATGTGAATTATTTAGCAATTTCTGTTAAAAAATTGGATAGTTTATATTACTATAGTACGTCGCAAACCCCACATAGATTCCTCTGCGGTAACAGATTAAATAAGTGGGTAAGAGTGTCAGTTGATTAAAATTTAATATGTTATCCTAGTGTTGATTCATGCAAAACAGAAGTGTCAATTTTTATTTAAAGAAATTGTGGAAGGAATACAAATTATCTCAGCCAGTCACAGAAGTGGTGATACATCATGTAGTAAGGTGGAGATACATCCACTCTCTCTAGTCTAATAATTATTCTTAGTATGAAAGAAAAAGTTGTATTCGTCATTTAGTCATACTGGTGTTATCTTTGAGTATAAGTTTTTTTGCGCCTACGACTCCAAGCGTGTTCAATGAACTTATTAACCTTACGATCAAACGTTATATTAGATATTGTGTAGTTAAACCAAAAAAATTATAACTACTAACTATAATACTATGAAAATTTGGTTTAAGTACTCTGTTACTTAATTGAAACCAAGAGGTTTGTGATTGGGTTTTTATCAAAAGATTGATGTGGAAGTTTGATTTTGAAAGTTCATATAATAATCAAGAAGTGTCAAAATCTCATATAACATTAACGAAAATATCATACTCCATATCTGACTCACATAAAATACAACTTTTAGGTACCAGTTTTTGTTCACGCATTATATCCTTCTATCTTTGGCAAGTTAAACATTTCAGTTGCCCACTTTTTCATACAGCATGCACTTTATTGAAGGAGGTCGCTAGAAAGAAACTTTCTTATTGAACTTCCATTGAAAAAACAAAGATATGACAAACATTCGTGATAGCAATGTTACATATGCAAGCTTCGTTCTTAAAGTCAAGAGCAATACTTTCCCACATAAAAGAACCATCCATTTCCGGATAAAAAATCAATCACCATTTTGCATACATCCTTGCACTACAAGAAAACTCGTCCATTACTAGGACAGGTTTTCCTCGTTAGTTCCTAGTAAATGGTCTTTTACTAGGAACTTACGAGGAAACGCGTTTCGTCGAAACACGTTCATCATAAAGCCTTTTTCCTCGTAAAGTCGTAGTAACCACTTTTCTCGTAATTTCCTAGTAACCACTTTCCTCGTAATTTCCTACTAACCACTTTCCTCGTAATTTCCTAGTAACCACTTTCCTCGTAATTTCCTAATAATGCTTTACTAGGAATTTACTTCGAAATGTTTTTCCACTTTCCTCGTAATTTCCTAGTAATGCTTTACTAGGAATTTACTTTGAAATATTTTTCCCTATTAAAAAAATAATTAAAATAAATATAAATAAGATATTTAAAAAAAAATAAAGAATCCAAATTATAAATAAAAAAGAAATAACAAAATATTTTATAAATAACTAAATATTTAAGTTTTAAATTCATATACAATTAAAGAGAAAAAAAAAACTAAACTACGGATGTTGCTCGTTAAATTGACGAACGAAGTCGTCATCCCGACTCGACAACTAATATCATTAATATACTAGTATCATTTAAAAAAAACAGTTAAAAAAATTAAATCAACCTAATCTAAATTCTCTAAACTAACCACCTAATCTAAATTCCCTAATCTAACCACCTAATCTAAATTCCCTAAACTAACCACCTAATCTAAATTCCCTAATCTAACCACCTAATCTAAATTCTCTAATTTAACCACCTAAGTAGGAAATAGATAGAACCTTAAGAGAATTCAGAGAGAAGCTTACTACAAATGAGAAATCGGATTTCTCGAGTTTATATAAGGAATTTTGTTTCCTCGTAAGGCCCTAGTAACATTACTAGGCCTTTACGAGGAAATAGCTATGCCTGTGTTTTTATATCCTCGTAAAGTCCTAGTAATGGTATTACTAGGACTTTACGAGGAAACTGCTTTACTAGGAAATAGCTATGCCCGCGTTTTTTTCCTCGTAAAGTCCTAGTAATGTTATTACTAGGACTTTACGAGGAAACAACTATGCCCGCGTTTTCTCTTACTATGGCTTTACGAGGAAAGTGTTTGTAAATCCCTAAACTCGAAACCCCAAACCCCAAACCACAACTTCCTTAACTTATAACCTCTTCTACAACCAAACTCCTAACCTCTTCTACACCTAAACCCCAAATTTTCAAAACTAAACAACCTAATATAAGTTCCCTAAACTAACCACCTAATCTAAATTCCCTAAACCCTAACCTTAAACCTAAACCCTAAACNAACCAAACTCCTAACCTCTTCTACACCTAAACCCCAAATTTTCAAAACTAAACAACCTAATATAAGTTCCCTAAACTAACCACCTAATCTAAATTCCCTAAACCCTAACCTTAAACCTAAACCCTAAACCTAAACCAACTTCCATAACTTATACCTATACATCTTCCTAAACCCCAAATCACAATTTTTTTTAAAAAAATAAAAGAAGTATACAGTCATCGGAACGGTTTTTATCAACCCCACATAGCTTTTCTCGAACTATCTATCTGAAGAAAAACCCCAAGATATTTCTTTGAGGAAAAGCTATGAGGAGTTGATAAGAAACTATTATGTTGACTGTGAACTCCTTTCAGTTATGAATTGAGTATTTTCTATTTGTTTGGTGTGTTTCAAATGAATCACATATGGTGGTATTTATAGAAATTTTCGAATCTGAGAATTTACTAAGAAATTGCTAGGAAAAGTAGGTACAAAATTTAAATTCGATATTTTTTATCTAGTTCCTCTTAATTTCGTAGTAACAAAACTCATTCCTCTTAATTTTGTAGTAAGCAATTACTAGGACTTTACGAGGAAACTGCTTTACTAGGAAATAGCTATGCCCGCGTTTTTTTCCTCGTAAAGTCCTAGTAATGTTACTACGACTTTACGAGGAAACTGTTTTCTCGTAAGTATACGAGAACCTTACGAGGAAACATGGTTTCCTCGTACACTCGAAGTAAACTCGTAGTAATTTTACGAGGAATTATTTTCCTAGTAAAGTTTCCTAGTAAATGCTTAGTTTTCTTGTAGTGTTGGGTGGGAGAGAAGAAAAATAAGACGGAGATGAAGAAGAGTTTGGTTCATGAGTCGCAATTATTGTTGTTATGACCAGGGCTGTCTAATAACATGTGTAAGTGGAGCAGTCGAATAGGATCCTAACTATGAAAACAAAAAAAATAAGAAAAATAAAGAAAATTTAAAAAATTAAAAAATATATAAATAAATTATGATATTTAAAAAAATAGATATATTGTTAGATTAGAACTTATAATTTTTTAAAAACATCAAACATAGTTATTAACTTTTAAATTAAATCATAAATATATCGTTAATTTTTTTTTTGAACAGTGTCTAAAATTTATTTGAGACGGTCTGACCATGACTATAAACACGAGAGCACAAACGGAATACAATGAATGTCATGATAAGATTTATTTGTTGTTGTCTTCTTGTTTGGTATTGTATGAGAGATGGCTGCATAGGTTTTATATAAGAATCTCGGTCTTACACAATTACAAGCCAAACCTTTATGTTACATAAACTCAAAGTAAATCATGGAAGCATGTCTACAAAACCTTAGCTAGTGAACGTGCAAGAATGTGCATTTAGTTCCTTTTTACGTACCACTATCCGTTTTATCTAATCAAAACACACACAATAATAGACTTACCTTTTGAGAAGTCGTTAATGGCCTAGCGGTTTCAATTCACTTTCTTACATATGATTATTCGAAATCACAGGTATGATATTTGGGGATAGCAGGGTGGTAATGTACCTTTCAAAAATCTTATGCTTGCATCGCCTGGACCTAAGGCCTAAAGATTTCTCAGGCACGTCTTGAGGATTTATGTATGAATATGCCCTTTAGGGTGAAGCAAATCACTATAAAAAGTTAAAACTCTTCACAGGTTAACCAACGTTGAGTTGGCATAGTGGTATAGGATTAGCACTGTAATTTCCACCATTTGGGTTCAATTTACGTTAGGAGGGACTATTTACAATGTTTGGGTTCTCGGGAAAGAGGTGAAACCACCTTTTCAACCATGCGTATGTGGTCGGGTGATCAAGACGTTCCGTAGATCTCTAAAAGGACTCGAATTTGAATCTGCACCATACCAAATTTCCTCAATGTGTGACTACCAGAATTTCTATATTCTTTATTCGGAGAATGGTTTACCATTTTTTTTTTTACTTAGAAAACTGAAGATCAACTCATTTTAAGTTTTTTGTCAATTAGAATCGAGGGTTATAAAAAAAAGTTTTCTGTCAATTAAAATCGAGGGTTATATTGTAATTTTAAGTAAGGGAATGGTATGTTTGTAAAAGACTGATTATTAAAGGTCTATTTTGCAATTTTTCTTATGTTATTACATGTGTTAATATGGTAAGAAAGAAAATGTCAATGGCGTTTCAACGACGACAACAGCACTGCTGCGGAGACCATTCTAACGACTGAAGCATCTTCTTCAAACATGTTTAAAGTATAAAAACCCACGTTTAGACCTCGAACTTTCCTAAAGTGTCGTCCTTTACTTAACCCACATCAGAAGTTTCCTCCTTTCTTCGTTTCCTGATCATGGAGGAAGAAGATAGCAAGATTCCTAGGATCATAGAACAAGACGGGCATGGTGGAAGTGATCTGAAAGTAGTCGGTGAGTCAAAAAAGAAGAAGAAGAAGTATTGGATGGGTTGTCTGAGAGCTGAATCTGACGAAAGTGGAAACACTGATTTGACTGTTGATTTCCCTGGTGAACGCGCTGCGCCTACTCACCTTGTTGTCATGGTCAACGGTCTCATCGGCAGGTTTCTTTAGAGTTCCTTTTGTTGTGAGTGTTTAATTTTATTTGATTTTAAACTGTTCTTGAAAATGTTTTTGTGTGTATTACAGTGCTCAGAACTGGAGATTCGCTGCTAAGCTGTTTCTTAAGAAGTATCCTCAGGATCTCGTCGTTCACTGTGAGTTAAAAAAGATTGATATAAATGATCACACTTGTAGATTTTATAGTTTCAGATCTTTTATTATCTCAACTTAACTGAAGATCCAGCTCTAGATCTCTTGTCAGCTATTAATGTAACATTTGCAACCTTTTTCAGGTAGTAAACGCAACCATTCTACACAGACATTTGATGGTGTTGATGTTATGGGAGGAAGATTAGCAGAAGAGGTAGTACCAGGACTTGCTTTCTTTTGTTGTCTCTGGTTGAGTTATTTTGCAGCTGAAGTTAGATTTGTTTTTGTCCGTTTAGGTTAGGTCGGTGATTAAACGTCACCCAAGTCTTCAGAAGATTTCCTTTATAGGACATTCTTTAGGTGGCTTGATTGCTAGGTATGCTGTTGCTTGTCTTTATGAGCAAGAGTCCCGACAAGAGCTTCCACAAAACAGTGAAGACATTTCTGATACATGCCTGAAAGAGAGAATAGCTGGATTGGAGCCTGTTTATTTTATTACTTCTGCAACTCCACACCTTGGTTCAAGAGGACATAAGCAGGTGACTTAAGAAAAGTTTCTTTAATGTACTTATGCATCAGTATCTTCCATGAGCTAGACTTTGATGTTGAGTTTTGCTATCAATATGGTGTGCCATTAGGTCCCATTGTTTTCTGGATCTTACACTTTGGAGAGGTTAGCTACGCGTATGTCATGGTGTCTTGGTAAAA